GAGCTTCTGGCGGAGCGAGGCCCAGCAGTGGGTGTCGCGGGACTGCCGAGTTGTTGCAGCATCGGGCATGGCTTGATGCGGCAGCAACGAGCGCATACTTGGTGAGGAGGCCGAGCGACTTGTCCATGAGCAGCGAGAGGGCGTAGGCGCCAAAGCCGAGGAGAAGAAACGCGTAGGGGATAAAGACGATGCGGCCGGTCTTTGTGGAAGGTGTAATGTCACCGTAGCCGATGGTGAAGAGGGTGATGACGGCCCAGTAGAAAGCGTCGAGCAGGCGCCAGTCCTCGATGTGGGCAAAGGCGAGGGTGCCGCCGACGACAAGAACGCCAAGAACGGCAAAGGCGAGGATGACCTCGAGCAGGTCCTTGTTGAGCGCACGGCGGAGCGCGTTGCCGATCATGGACATGTCCATGACCGGGAGGCCCGAGGCGGAGAGAACCTTGACCTCGATGGCGTCGCCGTGGCGGCGAATGGCGATTTTGAGACGCGGGTTGGGCACAAGCGCGGTCGTGTCCGAGTCGAGCGCCGACGATGCGGAAGAGACCGACGACGAAGTCGTCGACGCCGACGGCGGTGGAGCGCGAAGGTACATGTCTGCGGCGTCGTCAGAGAGCGTGAGCGGGACGTTGATCGGGTACCAGGCATCGGGTGGGGTCTGGGAGAGCGGCTCGATGGGAACGTCCTGTGCAGACGAGAAGGCCGACGAGGGGCCGATGCCGGTGTAGGCGTCCGAGTATGGGCTCTGGGCGTCGTGCGGGCGTTCGGCGTCTGGCGGAGAGGCGTGGAGAATGTGCGGCGGGATGGGGACTAGGACCGAGCCGATGAGGTCGTCGACGGTGTTTGCGTCCCAGTCGTAGACTTCAAAGAACAGAGTGCCCGACGCCGAGTATTCGCCCGGGAGCGACCAGACAGGCGGGTGAGGCCAGCTCGGGTTGAGAGTCCGTTTGCCACGGGGGTGTAGAACCAGGCGCCACCGGGGGCGCAGCAGGGAAAGTAGACAAAGCAGCGGCAGCGCGAGGCGCAGAACGATGACGATGCACGATCGGCCGGGCCGAGGACGACGTAAGGGTCTGAGAGACCCTTCGAGTGGAGCTTTGCCACCAGATCCTTGACACGGTTGCCTGAGATCTGCGAGATGGTTGAGAGGGCGTAGCCGACGAGGCCGACACCTATGAGGACAAAGACCCCGACTGCGCCCTTGCCGTTATCTGTGGTGGGGACGATGTCGCCAAAGCCGATGGTGGTTACGGTGACAGTGGTGAGGTAGGCAGCATCGACAGCCGTCAGCTCCTCCACGTAGACAAAGGTGACCGTGCCGGAGAGGAGGACAATGGCGACGGCCAGAGTCATGGTGATGGCTCGCCAATGGGCCTGCCACGCCGTGGAGCACCACGCCGGGAGGTGGCACCATGGCGAGGGGGGTGGAGGTGATGACATGGTGTGTGGTGAGGTGGTGGCAGTGTGGTGGGGTATTGAAAGGGGGGGGGTAGTGGGGGGGGGGGGGGGGG